ACTAACTAGTGTTGTGAAGTCTATATAGGTATAACCTCTATGGGAAATTTTCTAACAAAGCTACTCAAACGACTGTTGCTCCTCAATGTTGACATTTTGTGAGGCCACAATTTTGTTCTTAAACACTGTCGTTTCTCAGAACGTGTTCAAATTGCATTGAGAAGCCAATCTGCAAAGGACATAGGAAAATGTTCTCATTATCTTATATCACAGTTTGCTTTTGGCTCTAAATAGTGTTTTCTAACTTATTCATCATATTGGGGCTTCCCTGATGACTCCCAGTGGTAAAGAATCTATCTGCAATTCAGGAGACGTGGGTTCGACCCCTGGGTTGGGAAGATCCCCTAGAGAAGGAAAGGGCAAGCCAGTCTAATATGCTTGCCTGGGAAGTCCTGTGGACAGAGGATCCTGTCAGGCTACAGTTCATGGGGTCACAAAGGAGTTGGACATGACGCGACTAAACAACAAATTCATCATATTAAAAAAAAATTCATCATGTTGACAATGATGGTTCTTTTTTTGGTTGTGCGGAGTAAAAACCAGGCGTGGGCTTCCTCTGGTTGCAGCGGGCAGGGGTCACTCCCAGCTGCAGCGCTCAGGCTGCACACTGCAGTGGCTCCTCTTGTTGCAGCAGCGGCTCGAGAGCATGGGCTGAGTAGTTGTGGTGCATGCGCTTTAGCTACTCTGTGACATGTGGAATCTTCCCAGGCCGGGGATTGAACCTGTGTCCCTTGCAGTGACAGGTGGATTCTTAACTGCTGAACCACCAAGGAAGGCAAATGATGGTGTGGGTGTGTATGTGTGTGTGTGTGTTTGACTGGTAAAATATCCATCTCTACAAATGATGAGTCTGCCAACACTAGGACTTCAATCGAAAAGGGGCCTGATGAAGTAGCTCACACCTGCGTTTGAGTCCTAATTCACCTGTGTGGCCTTGAGCAAATGTTTTAACCTCTTTGAGCTTTGTTTCCTCAATAAAATGGAATGTTACTAGCCTTTAAGTTTTCGTGTGAGGATCGGCAACAGCATATATAAAGCACTCAATACATAGTAGTGTTAGTCATTCAGTCATCTCTGACTCTGCGATCCCATGGGCTGTAGCCCACCAGGCTTCTCTGTCCATGGAATTCTCCAGGCAACAATACTGGAGTGGGTAGCCATTTCCTTCTCCAGGGGATCTTCCCGACTCAGGGACTGAACCCAGGTCTCCTGCTTCGGAGGCAGATTCTTTCCTGTCTGAACCACCACGGAAGCCCCAATACATAGTAAGAGCTCCATAAATGGTAGTGGTTGTTGTTTAAAACACTGCTGTCACTGAGATGGAGAAGCACTCTTCCTGTTTTAAAACAGTTGGATGAATTTGAGAATTGAAGGGAAGTTGATGGGTCAGCTAGGATAATCTTCAAGAGAACAATGTTGCAAAAATGATAAAGCAGGCATGCAGTAAGGTCTTGGAGTCAGTTGATTATAAGCTATTGCATGTCAGCCAGATGGCACTTTATTTTTTAAAAGAAGGGTAATCCTAGAAGGTATGAATGAGACACAGTCTTTAGCTCTGGTCAGTCTTGATTAGAGCACTACCATTTTGGAAAGTGGCTTAAAATAATAACTATTAAAGTTTGATGGAGGAAATACACAGTTCTATTTGACAGTGGGAGAATTCCAAGTAGAACTGAAGTTTTCTAACTCGTATTTTCTAACTTATTCATCACATTGGGCTTTCCCTGAGTAGACATCTCTTGGCACCTAAAAACTGTTAACAAGGGTTGGTTGTTGATGTCCTTTTCACTAACATTCTATACATGGTATTTCTTCATTTTCCATTTTTCTCTCCTCATTCTTACTTTCTATATTATTTCGTTTTCATTTCCCCTGGGTGTGACCTTGAACTGTGGCTGAGATGGCTTAACCTCATGAGTAGCAAGTGAAGGCATTTTTGAAGAAGCTGAACTGATGTAATCTTGTTTGGAGTTTGAGGAATAGACTATTTCCTTTAGAATCATGAAAGGGACAAGTAAGACAAAGATTAATCTATGGATCCAATAAAAAGGGTTGATAATTTTAAACACTCTTTGTTACTTCAGGTTGTAAGTAGTAAAAGTCAAAGCTTCAATTTGAGTATTTGGGTGCTCTGTAATTGTTTAAAGAAGCAAAAGCATGTTGTTCATTGACATACCAGTTAGATCACAGATTTGTTCTGTGACAGGGAAGAACTGTGGACTGGTCTAGCTGTGTTTTGTTACCTCATCTTAAAAAGGTTAGAAATATAGCTGGAGCTCTCCCTAGCAATTCATTTTATTTATTTGTATACTTGTCTTGCCTTGTAAACTAGAATGTAAGCACTTAAAGGACAGCAATTATATTTTGTACTTTCATACAGTGATTTATATGTAGAGGGCATACAACAAATATTTGTATATCACATTCATGAATACACACACACATACAATCTTTTTTTGAAATGCAAAGCTCAGATGCCCATATTTCCGAATTTTAAAAAACCAAGATACACAGTCTGAAAAGGTGGAGTATACTTAGGACCATACAGGTGAGTATTTGACCTCAGAAAATACTTGATGATAGAATCACTTTACTTACAGTATCCAGTCCAGGAGTTTTCATTCTATGTTAAATGGAAAAGGATCTCTGACTGGAATTCACTGGTTCTTCAACTTGAAAGAAAAAAAAACTATTTTTGTTAATATACTGCTGCAATTAAGCATTTTTTCCCATTGTGAATACAGGAAACAAACCACAGTTCGTGGTAACTTTCACTCTCTCACCAATAGGAATAACAGATATTTTCATATCTCATTCCAGTTGTGGGATTTCTTGAAATACCTTCTTTTTGCTTTAAAATTTCAGTAGTTTAACTTGCTGCAAGATATTGATGTTTAAAGAAAAAGATTACTATATCACAAATGTCTTAAATATGTTATTTCCTGATTGTATTTCAACATAAAATTTCTTTTATAATGCTATGTATTTTACTTTGCTCATTTAAAAACGCAAAAGATCCATAGTTTTACCAGACTGTCAAATGGCACAAAATAGGTTAAGAACCCTCGAGTTAGAGGCAGATTTATGTGAAGCTAATAAAGTTTAAACTTCAAAGTCCCTTTACCATGCCTTTCCAGATTCTGTTCCTAAATTGTATTCATCATTTTATATTATTTTTCTTAAGGATCCTAGCATATACATTTTAATTTGCATTATAAAGTTATTTATAATTTATATATATTAAAATTATATTACAAAATTATATTAATCATTTCAAATTATAAAATTAGCATTTTAATTTGTATTATAATTTGCATGAGATTAAAAGATGCTTGCTCCTCGGAAGAAAAGCTATGACAAACCTAGACAGTGTATTATAAAGCCGAGACATCACTTTGCTGACAAAGATGTCTACAGTCAAAGCTGTGGTTTTTCCAGTAGTCAGGCAGGGATGTGAGAGGTGAGCCATAAAGAAGGCTGAGCACTGAAGAATTGACGCTTCTGCAATGTGGAGCTGGAGAAGACTCTTGAGAGTCCCGTGGACAGCAAGGAGATCAAACCAGTCAATCCTAAAGGAAATCAACCCTGAATATTCATCGGAAGGACTGATGCTGAAGCTCCAATACTTTGGCTACCTGATTCAGGGTCTTTGGAAAAGACCCTGATGTTTGGTAAGAGCGAAGGCAGGAGAAGGGGGCAATAGAGGATGATATGGTTGGATGGCCCCACGGACTCAATGTATATGAGTCTGAGCAAACTCAGGGAGATAGTGGAGAGGGAAGCCTGGCTGTGTTGTAGTCCACGGGGTACACAAACAGTTGGACAAGGCTTAGCTACTAAATAATAAAATTATTTGCATAAATTTCACACCGCACGCTGCAAAAGTTGGGTTCTCCATTACGTTCAGCCCAGTACCGAATGCATAGGTTTTCAACAGCTAATTTTTGGTTGATAGTTTCCTGGAAATTTACATTATCCTTGAAGTGTATCTGGAAATCTCTGAGGCCACTGCTTGGCTTCCTTCTCGCCTGGAGAGGGACAGGGCATTGGAGATGGGGAAGAAAGGGCCGTGGGATGAGAGAGGTTCGGACTAAGGCGAGGAACAGGGGACAAACAAGTAGGGGTGGAGGGTGAGAAACGTTTAGGAAAAACGGGATTTAGCCTCCTTTGGGAATTAGCTCTTTTCCTTGCACGGCTCCTTTGGCTTCGTAGGTGCATACACCTGCCCAATGTTCTTTTGTGAATATGAATTAGCTCCAAACCCCACGCAGAAAGGTCTCAGCTCTGTCATTTGTAGCTAACATGACTCGAGTAAATGCCCACTTGAGCGATTTCCTTCACATCCTGAGCTGTTCCCAACCATGTGTGGAAGGGAGCCAAGGAGAGAGTTTTCTGAGTACTCCAGGGGATGATTTTTCTTCGCGAAGAAATTCTCCAGCAAAACAGACGAGCCAAACACCTACAGCGTGCTCTAACTGGAGCCCAGAAAACGACCTAGAGGAGGCCGGGCCGCGTGGCGGTGGGCGTGTCCGGGGCGAACGCCGCGGAGACGGCTACTCCAGGGAGGAGGATTACCAGCGCTAAGGCGCCGGTGAAGGGGCGGGAGGGCCCGCGGCCGAAGGAGCCGATGGGGGGCGTAGGGGGCGGGGTTAGGGGAGCGGCCTCGCGCAGGCGGCAGACGAGAAGGGACGGGGGAGGGGGCGGGCCTCGGCCACTCTGGGCCTGCGGCGCCACAGCCTCGCCTACCACTCGCGGCTTCACCACAGACCCCTTTGTGTTCCTGCCCCCGCCCCGGAGGCGCCCCAGCCGGCGGCGCTGAGTTCCCTCATTGGCTCAGCCGATGGCTTCCGCGATTGGCTTCTGAGCCGTCCGGCGTGGGGCGCCTCTTCTCGCTTCTATTGGTCATCTGAGCTGCTCGTCAGGCCGCCGCGCGAAGTGATTGCCCGGCCGCTCAGAGTCCCTGGAAGCAGTTCCGGGAAACCCCGCGTGCTGCCGGGATCGCGTCTCGCTCCGTGACGGGGGGGGGAGGGGGTGGCGCGCGCGCCATTTCTAGTCGTTTTCAAAGCGCCTCGCGCTGGTTCTCACGGGCCCGGCCACCGGCCCCAGCTCTGCCCTGGTGAGTCTCGCGCCGGCCCGCGGGGGAAGGGGCCGGGAGCCCCGATCCGACCCTACCGGGCCCGGCCCGGGCTCGGCGCTTGCTCCCCAGTTTCGTTTTCGCTCCGAGGCCCCCGGGGTGGGGGTGGGGATGGGCTGGGGGCGGCTTCGGCCTCGGCCGGCGGCTCAGCGGAGGGCCTAGCCGCCGCCGAAGCGCTTCCTCGCCCTCGCTCGTCCTCCCCGCTCCCCCCGCCACCCGCCGCCTCCCCTCCAAGCCCAGGCCCATGGTCCGGCCCGTCGGGCGCTCTCCGCGCGGCCTGCCGGGTCCGCCGCGCTTTTCCCGCCTCCGCCTGCCGCTCCACGCGGCCAAGCCGGCCGCTTTCAGTCCCGGCTTTAGGTAGACCCCATCGCCTCTCCCTGCCGGAGCCCCGCCTTGCTCCCCGTTCAGCCGGCCTAGCCGCGCGTGGGGTTTGTTGATGGTCAGAACCGGCATGGGCCGGGGTGGGCCGAGGGCGGGATGCCAACCCGGGTGAGCCGAGCCGGGAGAAAACTTTTGTATGAAGCAGCGGCCGAGAAGCCGGTGTATGTAGGAAAAAGCCTCCTTTTCCCCTCCCCAGCCGCCCCCCCACCCCCACCCCAGTTCTGCATGCTGCAAGTCGAGATTTGAAGGAAAAAATGACTACTAGAGGCCATGAAACTTAGGCTTCGAGCGGCGCCTGAGATATCGCAGTCTAAATGCCATAGGCGCACTCTTTTGGAAAGGCGATTCTTTTTCTTATGCGATAGAAACCGCATTGCCAGAATTTCAAGACTGGAAGAAGCCACGGGGATCTTGAAGGGTTCAGCCCCGTCCACACTACCTGTTTCAGATTTTTTGCTGTCCTGCGGAGTCTAAATTTATGTCTCATGAGTCAGTCGTAGGATAAGGGCTTGACACTCCTAAGCCATGAGAGAACCGTTAGTTTTCATTTCATTGGATCTTTGAAAGCCGGTCTCTTAAAATGAGAAGAATTTTCACGAGATGTTCAGAAAAAAAAAAAGTCAGGGAAGGGCTAGTGCCAGATTTCCCAAATCTCCCAGCAACCCTGATTTTAAATTTCTCGTTTTTGCAAAAGAAGTTTAGATCAAGTAACATCAATCACATTAGTATATTTGCTGCATCCAGAAATATGGTTTGGCTGTGTGGCATTGAATTGACACAAGAGTTTTAAACTGTCTCATATGACATCAAAGCCTTTTTTTTAAATGAGCACATTAAATTTGGTTTGAAGAGAGCTTTTTCCTTGATCTGCAAGATTTTGTTTTCTGGACTCTCTTTAATAGTTGTACTTTTTTGTTAAAGTTTACAGACTTTTTTTTTTGAAAATTTCAACTGATTTCAGAATCAACTTGTAGAGAACCTTTGCAATGAATGGTAGTCATAAATATTTCTGTCTTGTGCTTAATACACAACTTGTCTTTTTGCTTTACACATACTTTAAAAAATACCACCTTAACAGATGGTCATTGAACTTTTCTGTTAAAAATTTGCTTTCTTTCCGTGATTGATAGTATTCCCAGGTGCAGTACCGCAAGGGTCTTGTGATACTGAGAACTTTTAAGTTCTAATGATCTATCTTATGGTCGTATTTGAGGGTGGGTGAGCATGGAAAACAACTATATGTTCCCAAAAGTATTTTGGACTTGAATGCATCTTTATAGAATTAGGTTGTACTAATCAGTAAACTATTCATCTTACACTATAAGTAGTTTCTTTATCAAAAGTGCCAGTTTTGAATGTTTTTGTTTTTGCCAGTTCATCAGAATTTGAGTTTTGCCTTGAGAAACATTTATCCACCCAGAGATTAACCACGGAGTCTGCCTCTATATAGACATTAGTGGGTTAGTAAGTCTTAATGTTTTGTAATCATAAGAAGTTATAATACTGTTTATCTCATTTTCAGAGTAACAGTTTGTGCATTTTCCTCTCTTCCTACTTGCTATTACCTCCTTCTCAGTCTTCCTTTTTCATTAATTTCAACTAAATATCAGTGGCCTTTGAAGTTGTTTAAGTCAGAAAAACTACACCTGGTGCGTTTGCACAGTGTTTTGAGAAGCAGTCTGGACGTGTGGTTATCTTATGTATGGGTTTCAGTGCTTTTTAGGAAACTTGTATTTTCTTTATAGCTGTCTAGGTATCTTCAGTTTCATCAGGAAAAGTAGGCTTTTCCTTGAAATCCACCTTCATGTCTTTTATTTCAGTATTTGTTGCAATGTCTTTATTCTGCTGCTTATTATCTTCATTACATTATAATTGCACCACAGACAAATGCACTTTAATTCCCTATGTTTTGAGGAGTTAGTATAGAGACTGGCCTTGTATGGTTTTATTATTTAATCTTTCTTCAGGGAGTTGATCCATTTCAGCATTACATAAAAGTTGAACACCCAAAATGATTTGGGTAGGTAAATCTGAGACATCTGACCTAAGTTTAAAAAGAAGCAACCTTAACTATAGCTCACTTTTTATTTTATGTGGACTTAGAACAATCATTTAGCTTTTAAACCTGGTCATTTTTTCTTTTAAATCTGTGAATGGGAATAGCAAATTAATTTTAGAACAAAAATTAATGTCAAGCTGTGTTTTTTAAGTTAGGTGGAGAAAACCCAAACCAGCAGCATGTTGAACTAGAGACCACAGGGCATTTATTTCACACCTATGTTGAATTTGAAGCAGAGCTAGTAAAGTTTGAAAGTCCTTGAACCTTAAGTTGTCTGTGGGTGTTCATTCTGTTTTTAAACCAGACTTTTTAAAACTGTTTTAAGAATTGAGAGCCGAGGGGCTTTTTAGGATTTTGTGGTGATCTGTTGATGAGCTCGTCAGGACACAACTGCTGCTTTTGTTAATCAGTGATTCTACCTTAAATAAATTCAAGCTTTTATCTAACCTAGTGTACATGAAGTTCCTTAAAGATGCAACACTTCCATGTACATTTCCCATGGTTTTACAGAATTCTCGCAAATTTAGGTCAGATACATCAGAAAAGCCATCAGAAATAATATTTCGATAGAGGTTATTAGCAGCATGTATACAAATCAGATAAATCATGCATTGTCCTACAAACTAGTTATTTCTGGCTTAATGTAATATAGCTCCTGAATTTTTTCCAGCAGCATAATAAAATGGCTAATCAGGTGAATGGTAATGCGGTACAGTTAAAAGAAGAGGAAGAACCAATGGATACTTCCAGTGTAAATCACACAGAACACTACAAGACACTGATAGAGGCAGGCCTCCCTCAGAAGGTGGCAGAAAGACTTGATGAAATATTTCAGACAGGTATAATATACATTTCTTGTTTCTGACTGGTTATGAAAGTGAGGGCAAACCACTTTGAATTTTATAGATTTTTTAAGGTTAAATATTACTTACTGTTTCTGATCTGTGTAGAGCTGAATGTTACTTTCCCTTCATTGAGGGCATATTGGGTTTGACTTTGATATTCTTATTTCATTATTTTGAAGCCTTGGTGTTGAATATGCAGTCTGAGTTGTTTCAGAACAGTACATCAATTTGTCTTAGATTTACCATCAATTAAAATGTGTTTCAGCATATCAAATTTTACATTTTTTTCTTAATCTAAATCAGTCGTCATTTTGCTTTTACTTTTCTACCTTTAGCTTCTTAATGTGATTGTAAAAATAGCTTAGGTCTTATTAGGTGGCATAATAAGAGGACTAGTTAGATGGTATTGTCTGAAATGATAATACAATGTCAGACTCTTTGAGAGTTTGTGGCCTGTCCAGTTTGTAACAGACAGAAATCTACAACTCTCAGTAATTTGGAAGTGTTTGGCTTGTAACAGCTGTGTTTTTTTTTTTTTTTTTTAATCTAGAATCCCATGGTTAAGTGCTGAAGCAAATTTGAACATTTTAATATGGTTGTTGTAAGTGGTTTGAAGTTCTAAAGAGGGAGAGAAATATATTTACCATTGTTCATAAATAAATGTGTCCTCCCCCTTTGGGACCATTAGATGGAAACGTTCTTCCTCTGTGTTTTGTGTGCCTGTCCAGATTTTGGGAGAGAAAATGGAATTGTCTCACAAACTGTGTCTTAAGTACTGTAGTAACAAATACCTAGTTTTTTGTCCTTATTTATTTATTTATTTTTAAATCCGAGAAGCTCAAGCTAAAGCTCATTTAGACACTAAAATGTCTTCTCAGACTGACTCCTGGGTGATGATCCCTTTGAAAATCAGTGCTCAGGAACTTTCTTTGATGTTCTGCCATAGAGAATTGGCAGTGATCTGCTTAGAGATGCTCTCTTGTAGAGTGTTTTGTTATTGATAAGAGGTTGATGGCTTGGGTGTAGGGTTGGATTGACAGAATGGATTGATGGGTATCCTGAGTTGTGACTTTGGGTGGTGATATGGAATAGTCAGCTAAGGAAATGCCAATTATTTTGGCATGCTCATTTTGAGCTCTTAAATCATGACTTTTTTTTTTTTTTAAGTAACTTTGCAAGTGTTATTATTTATTATGGAATAAAGTTCTTTTTGGCTTTACCAAAATGGAGTCACTTTTGATGTTAGTTCATATGGACTTGGGGCTTTCAATCTGCCAAATATTTCCATTTTACTTTGGATCAGTTCTGAAATATATTCAGAAATATAAAATTTAACAGACTTAAATTATATTTAAACATAGTAGATGTTCTGTGTGCAGTTAAATATACTATATGTATATATAGAATGCAGTGCATATATTTTCTGTATACCTTGCTTGTAAGTCCATAGTAAAGTCCTTTTAATGCCATTTGAAAAAAAAAATTGTCATTGTTGACAGTGTTGATAATGCTACAGCATCTTTTAAAATCTCAGCCTGACACTTGTGAAGAACAAAAATGCCTTAAAATATGACTTTTCGGAATTGATTAGTCAAGCTGCACTTGCATTTATAGGAAAAATTTAAAATTTAATGTAAAATATGCCTTTCCACATTCTGACTGCAGCAAAGTAGATGCTCAAAACAAATGAAATTTCATTTTATCTTTGGTGCTAAGGAGGGAAAGCCTTTGACACTTTTTGGAGAGTGGGAAGAATTATTTAGCAAAAGTAATTCATTCTTTCCCCCACTTCTTGGGTGGTTAGCAACAACTGCAGCAGTCCATATAATTTGAAGATTGATCCTTGGGAAATAGTGTTTTTGTTTTTTTTTAAACCACTCTAACATAATCAGAACTTGTTATTTTAATGCTTATTCTGTAGTACAGTGTGTATGTACATCAGATTTAACTTCCAAGATTTAAACATTTTGCAGAGTGGGAAATGGGGTTAGAATTTTTTTTTGTGGGGTGTGGGGATTGAAATTTATGTTTATAGGTGTTAACATTGTGTCTTCTGTTTTCATATTTGTACTCTTGATCTTTTTATATAGTATTTGTATAGCTGACCTATATGCGTATAGTTGAATGAAAATGTAGTTAGTGATAGTATTGAATATAGCAATTCTTGATGGAACATTTATTTATAGCACAACTTAGACTATCCTTTTTGTTGCAATAATGTTACCTGTTTTCAATTTAATTTTTAGGATTGGTAGCTTATGTCGATCTTGATGAAAGAGCAATTGATGCTCTCAGGGAATTTAATGAAGAAGGAGCTCTCTCAGTACTACAGCAGTTCAAGGAAAGTGACTTATCACATGTTCAGGTAAGGACATTATCCAGAAAAGTCTTTGAACAACTAATGATCTGAAATTATTTTACTATTACTTTTTTTCCTGTGGATAAGTGGTATTTTTTATTTGTGACTACTTCTGCTTCTTTAAAAAAATTAGCTTAAAAATCTACATGGCAAAAAGTTTTCAGAAATGCAAGTGTAAAGTAAAAGTCTCCCACTTCTTGTGACATTTTTGGATTATGTGAAACTGTTTTGTTATCTTAGAGGGAAATAGTGTAGATAGGAATAGTTTCAGGACATCTGGCAAAAATAGCCCAGATGCATTTAAATATCAGCAAATGGAAGACTATTTTGCCAGTGCTGAAGGTAAGCTCCCCAGAGGTCTTACATGTCTTAAGTGCTGTCAGTTCCAGTCTCTGGCACATAGCAACCACTCATCAAGTATTTGTACAGAGTAAATATTTTGTTTAAATTCTGTTCTTCTGAAATTTAAGTTTAATTGTATATTTGACCCTTCAACAATTCCTGATAATTCTTTTTCATTGAATTACTTGGCTGTTCTAGAACAAAAGTGCATTTTTATGTGGAGTTATGAAGACCTACAGGCAAAGGGAGAAACAGGGGAGCAAGGTGCAAGAGTCCACAAAGGGACCTGATGAAGCAAAGATCAAGGTAAAACTTGACTTGGGTAGTTGTAATGAAGTTAAATGTAATTATGAGATCAATGCTCTAGAAATATTTATTTCTTTGGATGGGTCAGGTCTTGGTGGTGGCACGAGGGATCTTCCTTGCATGATGTGCGGTTTTGCATTGCGGTTTAAGGGCTTCTCTGCAGTTGCAGTGCTCTGACATAGAGTACATAATGCCTGGAACGTAGGGAGATCAGTATAACTATGAGCCATTATTGTTACTGTTATTATTATTTAGATAAACTGAAAGGAAAATACAGGGCCTTTAGTGTATCCTAAAGGAGATCAGTCCTGGGTGTTCATTGGAGGGACTGACGTTGAAGCTGAAACTCCAGTCCTTTGTCCATCTGATGCGAAGAGCTGACTCATTTGAAAAGACCCTGATGCTGGGAAAGATTGAGGGCAGGAGGAGAAGGGGATGACAGAGGATGAGATGGTTGGATGGCATCACCAACTCGATGGACATGGGTTTGGGTAGATTCTGGGAGTTGGTGATGGACAGGGAGGCCTGGCATGCTGCGGTTCATGGGGTTGCAAAGAGTCGGACACGACTGAGCAACTGAACTGAGTGAACCGCATACTTTAGTTAAATGGATACTGATGTTTTGCTGTAGTGATAGACTTTTCAATTTGAAATAGTTAATGTTGAAGTTTGTATAGTTCCATCATGTTTTAGACAAGAAATTCAACTTAAAATTTTTACCCCTTTGTACCTTTTTTTCCTCATGTGGAAAATGGCACACTTCCATTCTTATATCTTAAATAATAGGTGAGAACTTTATTTGTTATAATGGTTATTTTTTTTTAAACTTACTTCTGTTCATAGAATAGGTCTATGTTATTTCCCTAAAACTGGCTATCTGCTCTTTAGAAGGTGCATATTGTATATGTAATATGTGTGTACTACATATTATACAAGTAATGGATAATATACATGTTTTGTGTCAATGGTAGAAGAATGGAGGGTCTAAGATAACTGTAATCCCAGGGCTATCCAGAGGTATTGTTTAAAACTATTGAACTTGATGTGATCTAAAGTTTCTTGTTGCTCTAACATTCTGTGATTTTTTTAAAACCTGAAGTGTAAAATCCTCCCATTCCTAGATAGATTGCCTTTCTTTTTTTCCATGATGTCTTTGTTCTGTAGGCCTTTCCTATGAACATAAACCCTTAAGGGCAAGGACAGTATCATCTTTTCTATGATTCCTCTTAATACCTCACGTGATGTTGTGAGGAAAGTTGGAAATGAGGAAACAGTTTATTTTTTGAAACCTGAAAGTATATTCATTTGGTAATTGCCAAGTATTTTGAGTCTGTGTTGTATGAGAAATGGTCTGGTTCTTATGAAGCTTATGGTATAGGAGTACAAAACAACAGGATCAAACAAAGTAAAGTTTAAATTATTTGAGTACAATAGAAAGTCAGAGTAGGAGGATGTGAGGAATAGTGAATGGAAGTAGCTGCCTAAAAGAGCTAGGACTTCTGATTTCCTCTTGTTTTTAAGGATAGAGAACATTTTATTTGAAAAGAATCACTTGTGGATGGAGGTATGGTATGTAAAGGGAACAAATAAGGGAAGAATCTCATGTAGAGGGGATACAAAAGGAGGCATACTGTGGTATGTAAGTATGAACAGATAGCTTGGGGTCAGCTTATGTCGAAGTGTTAGTAATCCTTCCCCCTGTTTTTCTTTTCTCATTAAAAAAGATGATGTGTGCTCAGAGATTTAATTTGCCTACAACTCTCCATTAAATGTCTGGAAAGGAGAAGTAAAAGTCTATGTGAGAAGAACCAATGTGAATTCTGTGATTTTTTTTTTTTTCTTTTCTTCCCCCTTGACTAAAATACTAAAATATTGGGGTACCTTTTGGAAAAGATCTTTATTTTGATTTGTGTGTGTATTTGTAAGATGTTTAACACTCAGATATTAACAATTATGTATAATTATCTTTAGGCCTTGCTTGAAAGGACCGGTTATACCTTGGATGTAACCACAGGGCAGAGGAAGTATGGTGGTCCTCCCCCAGACAGTGTGTACTCTGGCGTGCAACCTGGAATTGGAACAGAAGTAAGTGTTCTTCAGTCTTTTGCTGAAATCTGTCCACTTTGTAAATATTTCTATCTATTGCATGATGGGAAAAATAACTTCCATTTTTTTCAAAGAGTAGCCATAACTTCTGTTTTGGTATCCATTTGTATTTTGCTGTCATCGTAAGTAGGGATAATCCTGCGAATGGTAGATACCTAAACACTTTGTAAAGGAATGTATAGAGTTCTTGGAACTGGTAGCTAGAACTATGCAACTAGCGACACACCATTTTAGGTCCTTGGGATGATGTTGTTAAGGAGAAGCAATTGCTTTATTCTGTTTTTCTTTTATGTCAAAATGGTGCTTGTCATCTCTCCTTGACCCTCCCCTCTCTGTGTTTACAGAGAGATTTATTGAAGGGAATGGGTTGCACACGGGAAGGATGTAGAATCAAATAAAAGGTTGAGCACGTTGGTCTATACTTGAAAGAAGGAGTCCCTTCTCCATCTATGTGTTCATGAGGGTTCCTTCATATGCCTTTATGTTAGACTACTCTAATCCTTTAAATGGAGAATGCTGAATGCCAAAAGATAAGTCCTATTGTTGCAGGTACCTTTTCTGATTTGATGTCTCCATTGTCTTTTTAGTGCCTGGCATAATGCCAGGAGTATAGTAGGACAGATATTGGTGGTTATGGTTTATTTTCTTTGAATACTGTAATCATGACTTCATAACTTAAAATTAGATTAAATGATAATCTTACAGGATTTTCTTTAAAGCAGAGTGAAGGGTGACTTAAGTGATGGTGTCAGTTAAAATATTTATGTGGTATCATTATGTATCTCCTACTTATTAGAATTTTAAGAAATTCTAAAACTTTATTCAAACATTATCAATGACACCCTTCTGAGTGCTGAAATTTAACTTTTGAGGTACCCCAAAGCACAGATTGTTATTTCTAGTTTGTGAGTATGTAAATAAAGACATCACCATTTAATGTAACTTTTCAGATCTATATCAGAGCTAATTTTAATTATGGTCTCTGTATGTGAATGTACATTTATTGGTTGTTGTTCTCTGAGCTGCTTTTATGCATTATTATAGTTAGTATTCTGTTTCTTAATATTTAACATTATTAAAAGGACTCTAGGCCTTTTTATGATACCTGAATCAGATACATATGCTTGTTTTTGAATTTAAAAAAAACTACTATAAATTACTTGCTGCTATATAATTATTGATAGAGTTGGGATTGGGACTCTAGCCATCTACATTCCTTTTAGGAGAAACTGTCATTGAAACATAATATACTCACGGTTGTCCTCTCATTAATTCCCTGACACCGTACTTTAATGTTCTGTTTATGTTGTGGAGTGAAGTCACCCAGTCGTGTCCAACTCTTTGCAACCCTATGGACTATAGCCTAACAAGCTCCTCCGTCCATGGGATTCTCCTGGCAAGAATACTGGAGTGGGTTGCCATTTCCTTCTCCAGGAGATCTTCCTGACCCAGGGATCGAACCCGGGTCTCCCCCATTGTAGGCAGCCGCTTTACCATCTGAGCCACCAGGGAAGTCCACTTATGTTGTGAACCCTTTTGAATCTACATTTATATTTCATTTTTAAAGAATATGGAGAGACTTTCCTGGTACTCCAGTGTAAGTTAAGACTCTGTGGTCCCAGTGCAGGGGGCACGGGTTCAACCCTTGGTTGGGGAACTGAGATTCTTCATGCCACGTGGTGTGGCCAAAAGAATAATAAACAATATGGAAATATAACTCAGCTTTCTTACAGGGACTCCTGTACTATATGTATTTTTTTTCTAATGGTTTTAAATTTGCACCTAAGCCCTCATGTAAAGTGAATAAAAAATGGAATTGTTCCTTTGCCTTTGTTCCTGAGACAAGTTGAAACACCTCCAAGAGGGGAATACATTTTGAAAAAGTTATCCATAGTATACCATTCATCATATGATATCCTTATTAATTATTATTTCACTTTCTTAGTCTTGTTTCTTTGACTAGTTATAAAATCTTTAGAAATAAAAGTTGTGCCATACAGTTTTGTTCTTCACAGTGCCCAGTATAGCCTGCTGTAAAATTGGTTGTATCTATTTTGTAATTAATCGAAATAAATTTTGTTAGCCTATTAGGTAGGTTCATTAATGAACTCTTTAATGGAGACTTGTTGTATCTTTGCTCTATGTAGATAAGGGACTGGTGTGCTGCAGTCCATGGGGTCGCAAAGAGTCTGACACAACTGAGCAACTGAACTGATGTAGACAGGGAGGGTTTTGCTAGTACTTTTAAGATTTCACTGGAAGTTCTTCATTTAATAAACTGTTCTGAGTACCCAGTTAAAAACAAATCGTATTTTAAATGTAAAGTTTGTTTCAGTTCAATTCAGTTCAGTCACTCAGTCATGTCAGACTTTTTGTCACCCCATGGACTGCAGCATGCCAGGCTTTCCTTTCCATCAACAACTTCCGGGAGCTTGCTCAAACTCATGTCCATTGAGTCGGTGACGCCATCCAACCATCTCATCCTCTGTTGTCCCCTTCTCCTGCCTTCAGTCTTTCCCAGCATCAGGGTCTTTTCTAATGAGTCAATTCTTCACATCAGTTGACCGAAGTATTGGAGTTTCAGCTTCACTGTCTGTCCTTCCAGTGAATATTCAGGACTGATTTCCTTTAGGATTGACTGGTTTGATCTCCTTGCAGATTTTATATTTCACTCCCTCTGTAGAAGAAAGATGTGTTTTTCTGTATGTTAGTTATGTGCAGCAGATATGGTTGCAGCAAAAATCCCTATATGAGATCAGCAGCCTAAAGCACTCCTGTCAAGCAATTTGGTGCAACAAAATTGCAGTGTAAAAGTTTGGATTCCTCCCATAAGTTCAGATTTCATGAGATTTGGCCCATACTTGTTGAAGATTAAAGTTTTGAAAATTAGGAGTCTTTCAATATATTGGGTTGATGATAGATTTAGTAAAGTAATTGGTTTTAATTGATATCACTTTTGATGCTCCAAGGTTTGGGATTTTGTTCTTCTATGGCTCATTGCAGTTACTAAAAATTACTACTAGCTCTTGATTGAGAAAGTTGAAATTAGGGTCAGTGCCTGATACTGACAGTTTTGAAAGTAAGTTACGAGAAGACAAGTTTTATCTTTGGATAAAATCTACTGTAAATTAACCGTATGATGAATACTCATTAATGGACCTTGTTGCTAAGCATTGACCTTGAGATGAGAAATATACAAGAATGAGAATACCAATTTTGAAAAGTATTTTTTTTAGTGTGCCTTGGCTCTCAGACCTAGTATGGCTATAGTATTTTTGTATCCTTTTCCCCCTTTTTATTCCAGTTTTATTGAGAAATACTTGACATATAGCACTATATAAGTTTAAGGTGTACAGCATAATGGTTTGACTTACATACATCATGAAATGAGGACCACACCAAGTTTAGTAGGCATGCATCACCTCATCAAATTAAATAGAAAAAAATAATGATTCTTTCTTGTGATGAGAACTCGGGGTTTACTGTTAGCAACTTTCTTATATAACATAGAGCAGTGTTAATTATATTTATCATGTTGTACATTATATCCCTAGTTACAACTGGAAGTTTGTAGCTTTCTTTAATTACTTTCATCCAGATCCTTCTCCTCCCAACCCCACCTCTGGTCACCACAGATTGATCCATTTTTGTGTGAGTTTGTTCTTCTGTTTGGTTTTGAAGCTCAGTTGACCTTCAACACTGATGTTAGCTTCAGGCGCACAGCACGGTGATGTGATATCTCTGTGGTTTAAGAACGATCACCATGAGTCTAGTTACTGCGTGTCGCAGTACCTGTCTGTTCTTCAGCTGGTTTTGTAAAACTCTTATTTCATTGACATAAATGTAATCTCCATGCAGATCATGTCTATATATTGATAATAAGCTCTGTATATTGGATTTAACTCTTTGTTTTATTAGCTGGTTGAAGTGTTAAAAAGAAACAGGTGTTTAACAGACCTATAAGTATCTGATTTTGTGGCATCTGATTTGCATTATCTATAAAGAAAAGCTGCTGTGTTTGCAGAAATAGCGAGTAGAAGCTGGATAACGGAGCAACCGCTGTAGATAGTCAGAAGCAGTGTGGAGCTGCCTGGCTCCTTCCGTTGGTTCCTTCCAGAGCCTTCAGGGCTTCCTCTCTTACTGTTGGAGTGATCAGTGTGTAGACAGCGCCCAAAACTTGTTCAGAACCTTGCTGTCTAATGAGTAAAGGGAGAACAGTTGTTCGGGTGTTCACTGGATTCTGTTGGTTCTGGTGGGGAGGGTTAACCTGCGCATGACTGAGTGTTTACTCACAGCTCATATGGAGCCAGAATGGCTCAGGGACCAACACAGTAATAAAAGGGAAACATTTATATTACATTTCAGTTCATTAAAAACTGAGCTTAAAAAACTTTAAAAAGAGGGATGCTTAGTTAGTTTTTGAATACCGTGTATTTTCAGCCTTTTAAAGTTCTTTTAAAGTCTTTAGTTAAACTGATCTTGAAATGAGACCATCTCCTGTTTCTCAAGCAAATCAGTGTTTTTGGCCTGTTTCTTTATGGACCCCAGTGATTATAACATTGGGCAAAGGTTTGTTGATGTTTCTTTTATTTTTGTTTATATGTTTATTTTTGTCCATGCCATGTGCGGCATATGGGATCTTAGTTCCCTGACCAAGGATCAAACCCTTGCCCCTTGCAGTGGAAGCGCAGAGTGCTAACCACTGGACTGCCAGACAATTCCTTGATATTTCTTTTAAAATAGAACAGTATTCTTATGAAAAAGCTGCAATGTCAGATGGACTTCTAACCTTCAGATGATCATGTAGAGTACAAGAAGCTTACTGTTATGAATTCTTTCTAATCAATCAATTGCTTTTCCTAAAAATACAGATCTTTTCAAGTATGCTTAATGAAGCAAACCTGAATGGTTCTGAAAATATAGACATGTGTTAAGAAAGTGGTATAATAATCTGACACTTAGATTCCTCATTTAGCTGT